TGGAATGGGAAGTCCGACACGGTCTTCCCAGAAGAGTGGAGGCTGGTTTAGAACAGGCAACTCCACTTTAATAGCCATGGGGGAGCAGGCAACCCCATTTTGATGGCTATGGTTTTGGAATGGGAAGTCCGGCACAGTTTTCCCAGAAGAATGGAGGCTGGTTTAGAACAGACAACTCCACTTTAATGGCCATGGGGGAGCAGGCAACTCCATTTTGATGGCTATGGTTTTGGAATGGGAAGTCCGACACTGTCTTCCCAGAAGAGCGGAGGCTGGTTTAGAACAGACAATGGGGGGAGCAGGCAACTCAATATTGATGGCCATGGTTTTGGAATGAAATGTCTAACAATATCACGCAGGTCTGGTGGTTCAGGAGCGCAGAAAGTGTAAACTGTACAAAACAAGACACACGAGGCCCCTCTGAGCATACGTAATCTACATCACAGACACAACAGGCATTCTGTACACCTTTACATTTGGGAGATGGCACAGAACCAATCCATATGGCCTAGGTGCTGCAAGATATGCAGTTGTAAGCTCTGCTAAGGACCCTTACAGAATTCCCATTCATGGTGAGGTTTGCTCCATCCTTCGAAACACTGAGATGCAGATACTCCTCCATGTAGATTCTCTATACTATCACTATATAGACTGTAGACACTACGGAGATTTGCAGGGCAGAAGATCTATTGAGTTAGTACCAATGCCCTCCGGGGCCATGCAAGATGCAGTAATCTGCGATATCCATTGGGTGTTCTATCGTCAAGGTCAAATGTGATTGGAAGCCAAGATTGACTGCACTTTGCACCACCTCGTTTCCAGAGAAGGCAAACAGCTATTAAAGTGTATCTAAAGGCAAACTCATATATTATTTCCCGTCACCAAGGGAATGAGCAACACCCTGCCAAGTGTCCTACTGGAGAGATTCCTCTTCATTTCCTGTCTTGTTGACACAACAGGAAGTTGAGGGATATCTCTGCAAAGCAGCAAGGAGGAAATCTTCTTAGTAATGGAACTTAACTTCCTATTGGAAGATTTCTCTTTTTGAGAGAACTCAAAAAAAAGATTTTGGATTACCCATCACTTTTTGTCTCAATGACAATGGTGACCAAGGGCAGGAATGGCGGGCATCCCTTCAGCAAGGACACCAATGGCAAAAAATAAATAAAATAATAATAATTATAAATAAAAAAAATACACACACACACACATACAGTCAGGTCCATAAATATTGGGACATCGACACAATTCTAACATTTTTGTCTCTATACACCACCACAATGGATTTGAAATGAAAAGAACAAGTTGGGCTTTAACTGCAGACTGTCAGCTTTAATTTGAGGGCATTTACATCCAAATCAGGTGAACGGTGTAGGAATTACAACAGTTTGCATATGTGCCTCCCACTTGTTGAGGGACCAAAAGTAATGGGACAATTGGCTTCCCAGCTGTTCCATGGCCAGGCGTGTGTTATTCCCTCATTATCCCTATTACAATGAGCAGATAAAAGGTCCAGAGTTCATTTCAAGTGTGCTATTTGCATTTGGAATCTGTTGCTGTCAACTCTCAAGATGAGATCCAAAGAGCTGTCACTATCGGTGAAGCCATCATTAGGCTGAAAAACAACAAAACAAACCCATCAGAGAGATAGCAAAAACATTAGGCGTGGCCAAAACAACTGTTTGGAACATTCTTAAAAAGAAGGAACGCACCGGTGAGCTCAGCAACACCAAAAGACCCGGAAGACCACGGAAAACAACTGTGGGGGATGACCGAAGAATTTTTTCCCTGGTGAAGAAAACCCTTCACAACAGTTGGCCAGATCAAGAACACCCTCCAGGAGGTAGGTGTATGTGTGTCAAAGTCACCAATCAAGAGAAGACTTCACCAGAGTGAATACAGAGGGTTCACCACAAGATGGAAACCATTGGTGAGCCTCAAAAACAGGAAGGCCAGATTAGAGTTTGCCAAACGACATCTAAAAAAGCCTTCACAGTTCTGGAACAACATCCTATGGACAGATGAGACCGACATCAACTTGTACCAGAGTGATGGGAAGAGAAGAGTATGGAGAAGGAACTGCTCATGGTCCTAAGATACCACCTCATCAGTGATCATGGTGGTGGTAGTGTCATGGCGTGGGCATGTATGGCTGCCAATGGAACTGCTTCTCTTTGTATTTATTGATGATGTGACTGCTGACAGAAGCAGCCGGATGAATTGTGAAGTGTTTCGGGAATAATATCGGCTCATATTCAGCCAAATGCTTCACAACTCATTGGACGCTTCACAGTGCAGATGGACAATGACCCAAAGCAGACTGCAAAAGCCACCAGAGTTTTTTAAGGGAAGTGGAATGTTATGCAATGGCCAAGTCAATCACCTGACCTAAATCCAAATGAGATGCATTTCACTTGCTGAGGACAAAACTGAAGGGAAAATGCCCCAAGAACAAGCAGGAACTGAAGACAGTTGCAGTAGAGGCCTGGCAGAGCATCACCAGGGATGAAACCCAGCGTCTGGTGATGTCTATGCGTTCCACACTTCAGGCTGTAATTGACTGCAAAGGATTTGCAACCAAGTATTAAAAAGTGAAAGTTTGATTTATGATTATTATTCTGTCCCATTACTTTTGGTCCCTTAACAAGTGGGAGACACATATGCAAACTGTTGTAATTCCTACACCGTTCACCTGATTTGGATGTAAATACCCTCAAATTAAAGCTGACAGTCTGCAGTTAAAGCACATCTTGTTTGTTTCATTTCAAATCCATTGTGGTGGTGTATAGAGCCAAAAATGTTAGAATTGTGTCGATGTCCCAATATTTATGGACCTGACTGTATATATATATATATATATATATATATATATATATAATATACATTATATATATATTTTTATATATGTATATCATTATTATTATTTTTATATATATATATATATATATATGTAATATGTTTTATTTATATATATATATATATATATATATATAATTTCTATATATATATATATATATATACCGTATATATATATATATTGCCAGTGGTGTTCTTGCTGAAGGGATGCCCATCATTCCTGTCCTGGTCACCATTGTCATTGAGACACACACATATATATATATTTATTTATATATATATATATATATATATATATATTTATATATATTTATATATATATATATATATTTATATATGTGTATATCATTATTATTGTTTTTATATATATATATGTGTGTATATATATATATATATATATATGTGTGTGTGTAATATTTTATTTATTTATATATATATATAATTTTTATATATGTAAATATATATATATATATATATATGATATATATTATGTGATTTTTTATTTTTATGTATATTATATATATATATTTTTATATATGTATATATATATATATATATATATATATATATATATATATATATGTATATCATTATATATATATATATATATATATATATATGTAATATTTTATTTTATATATATATATATAATTTATATATATATATGTGATATTTTTTTATATATATATATATATATATATATATATATAAATAAAATATTACATATATATATATAAAAATATTAATGATGATATACATATATATATATATATATATATATAATTTTTATATATTTTATATATATATATATATATATATATATGTATGTATATCATCATTATTATTTATATATATATGTAATATTTTATTTATATATATATATATATATATATATATATATTATATCATTATTATTATTTTTATATATGTGTGTAATATTTTATTTATATATATATAGATATACAATTATTATTTATATATATATATATTTAATATATGTAATATTTTTATTTTTATATATGTATGTATATATATATATATATATAATATATGGTATCATTGTGATGGTGAGGAGAGATGGGTTAATCATTATGTTCTATGTAATCGTCATTTTTGCATAGGAGTTAGCTTGCAGCTCTATTTTTGTAGGGGTTTTGTAAATTGATCCTTGAGAACAATGAAGATGAGGTAGAGAATAGAAGCACCACTCCACTTATTAATTCCAGAATAGGTTTTTTTTTATATAAATTCACCAAGAAAAGCCAATGTGTTTCGAGAGTTAGTCCCCCTTTTTCAGGGCTATGAACAAACTGGTGACTGGTCTGCATCAATATTATAGTAATATGTACTGGTGACTAGAACTATATATATTTTTTAAGTACCAAAAGTAAAATTCTAAAAGAAAAAGAATAAAAACAGAATAAAAAATGTTGGGGTTTAGAAGGTTTTTTTTTGTCTTAAAAAAACTTAATACCGAATGTAAAAATTGTAAAAGAAAAAGAATAAAAATAGAATACAAATTTTGGGGTTTTCGAAGGTTTTTTTTAGTCTTAAAAAAAACTTAATACCGAATGTAAAATTCTAAAAGAAAAAGAATAAAAATAGAATACAAATGTTTTGGTTTTAGAAGGTTTTTTTTTTGTCTTAAAAAAACTTAATACCAAATGTAAAATTCTAAAAGAAAAAAAATTAAATAAAAACAATATATCTTTTGTTTATTTCTTAGAAATATTAAAAGTAAAATACAGTGTTGGCTTTAGATACACTTTAGCTTAGTAATTCAGACGGGTATTATTTATTCTTGCTAGGATTGCTCTTGGCACCATATTGATAAATGTAGGTCAGTCCACTATCTTGCATGTGTAGACGAAGGACAGAAATACTCCTCCATTCATGCGATGCTACACCCTAGGTCATATCAAATCTCCTATTCCTGATACCTGACCCCCTTATAGAATGTGTTGATTCCGCCAACAAAGTCCAGCAGATGTAGCCACATAAAGCTCTGATATTTTTATGTCATGAACCCCTCAGTTTGAGAACCTACCCTCCAACCCCAGGGTAAGAACTCAATGTCCTGTACCTTGGAGACCTGTTATCTCTTGAATTCTCTTGTTTGTTTCCGTTTGCTCGGCTCGGTCTCCAGGACCCAGCGCTAAGAAACAGGGGGAAGAGATATCGGATAATGACGAAGACGAGGAAGGAGGTACTTGCTGGCTGAGGCTGATGCATGGAACCCATTATCATCATACTTTTTCCTTCTGCCTATTTCCCTCCTTTCCTCCTTCTCACGTGTATTAGAGATCTTAGAGGGTTATCTCCCTTTTCATTGTGCACTTCTCATCTTTAACCTTGACCATCCACAACTCATCCTCCTACCCTGGTTGGTTCCTCGGTTAGAGTCAGGTTTCCACTTTTGGCTTTTCTAAGGTAGCTGTAGCCAATGAGAGGAGTAAGAACGAGGAGTAAGGTGAGGCTTGTGAAGGGTCGTGTCTAGAAGGGTGTAGATGGTGGAAGGCCATTGAGGTGGCCATTCTATGTAGATGCCATGGAGGTGGTCATTATATATAGATGCCATTGAGGTGGTCATTCTGTGTAGATGCCATTGAGGTGGTCATTCTGTGTAGATGCCATTGAGGTGGTCATTCTATATAGATGCCATTGAGGTGGTCATTCTATGTAGATGCCATTGAGGTGGTCATTCTGTGTAGATGCCATTGAGGTGGTCATTCTGTGTAGATGCCATTGAGGTGGTCATTCTGTGTAGATGCCATTGAGGTGGTCATTCTATGTAGATGCCATTGAGGTGGTCATTCTATGTAGATGCCATTGAGGTGGTCATTCTATGTAGATGCCATTGAGGTGGTCATTTTATGTAGATGCCATTGAGGTGGTCATTCTATGTAGATGCCATTGAGGTGGTCATTCTATGTAGGTGCCATTGAGGTGGTTATTCTGTGTAGATGCCATTGAGGTGGTCATTCTGTGTAGATGCCATTGAGGTGGTCATTCTATGTAGATGGCATTGAGGTGGTCATTCTGTGTAGATGCCATTGCGAAGGTTATTCTATGTAGATGCCATTGACGTGGTCATTCTGTGTGGATGCCATTGAGGTGGTCATTCTATATAGATGCCATTGAGGTGGTCATTCTATATAGATGCCATTGAGGTGGTCATTCTATGTAGGTGCCATTGAGGTGGTCATTCTATGTAGATGCCATTGAGGTGGTCATTCTTTGTAGATGCCATTGAGGTGGTCATTCTATGTAGATGCCATTGAGGTGGTCATTCTATATAGATGCCATTGAGGTGGTCATTCTATGTAGATGGCATTGAGGTGGTCATTCTGTGTAGATGCCATTGAGGTGGTCATTCTATGTAGGTGCCATTGAGGTGGTCATTCTATGTAGATGCCATTGAGGTGGTCATTTTATGTAGATGCCATTGAGGTGGTCATTCTGTGTAGATGCCATTGAGAAGGTCATTCTGTGTAGATGCCATTGAGGTGGTCATTCTATGTAGATGCCATTGAGGTGGTCATTCTATGTAGATGCCATTGAGGTGGTCATTTTATGTAGATGCCATTGAGGTGGTCATTCTGTGTAGATGCCATTGAGAAGGTCATTCTGTGTAGATGCCATTGAGGTGGTCATTCTATGTAGATGCCATTGAGGTGGTCATTCTATGTAGATGCCATTGAGGTGGTCATTCTATGTAGATGCCATTGAGGTGGTCATTCTGTGTAGATGCCATCGAGAAGGTCATTCTGTGTAGATGCCATTGAGGAGGTCATTTTTGTGTAGATCTTAGGACACACCATGGTATGAGCATTGGCCTTGAGCCCCTTTTCTTGTTCCTGTCACACCTTTATCTTAATCTGTATCTTTTTTTGATCCTACTGTGTTATTTGAGTGCTAGCTCTCCGAGTGAGGACCACAGTCATTGCCTTGCGGCAGACTTTTTTTTCCATGCCATTGCTTTATTTAGCGCCATTTTTTTTCTTCTTTGTTATTGCTCTATACATTTATCTCCAGGCGTTTGGCTTAGTTGTCCCTGTCCGCCTTCTACACATCTCCTTGTCTGCTAGAGCTTGAGTAGTTCATTGCTCGTGTTGATGGACCCTTCTCATGTGAGCTGGGCAACTACCCCACATGATTGTTATCGGAAAGTCCATTTCATCACCTCGTTGTAACGCTCCTTCACAGGACTGCACCCCTTTCGTTCTATCATTATGGTCAAGCACCGAGGGGACCACAGTCCTGAGAAAGGGCCTATTTTACTTCTTTTTTTTTTTTCAATTACTTCTGTGGCATGAGCTGCATGTTTGGCTAGCTGGTGGTGGGAAGGGCCTCCAGAGCTGAAGGGGCCTTTGTGTTTGGGGAAGTGGTGGCACCTGCTCTCCTCGGTCTGACTTTGTCGGTTAAGACCGCGTCTGCCCACGTGTTCCGTCAAGATGTACATTGTCTGCCTTTTGTGTTCTTCGTGTGAATGAAGCCAAGTGGTTGGTGTCAAGAGCCTCTCCAGGTTGGTTATCACTTTCTAAGGCCCTGTTACCTTTCATTCCACCTCCCTGCAGATATACGAGACACAGGAGCTAAGCCGGTCATGGTGTACATCCACGGAGGCTCGTACATGGAGGGCAGCGGGAACATGATTGATGGAAGTGTGCTGGCCAGCTACGGCAACGTCATCGTTATCACCTTGAACTATCGAGTGGGCGTTCTGGGTTAGTGACACACGTTGTTCATATCTTCTCTCCCTTATTTATTGCTGTTCTGTGACTTGACTGTTGATGTTCCCGGCTTCCAAATGTGCCGCCGGCTCTGCGTTTCCGCAATCAGTGAATGGAAATTCCGCAGTTAATATGGCTTTTCGTTGATTGTCCTCGGTCTCGGGGTCCCCGCAAAGATAATGAGCCCCCTGAAGCATTTCATATTAAAATCGGGGGAACGCTGGTGGGGGGGGGCCTTTCCATTAATGTCTCCCTAGAGGGCTGCCGTTGGTTCTGTCTCCGGATTCCCTTCTATGGGATGCGTGGTGACGTCACTTCGGATGTGATAATAAGGCAGACTCCGCCGCAAATATAGAATGTTCCCAGGTGTAGCGAGTGTGGGGGTGAAAACCGACCCCCCGAGCTACGCGATTAGACGGATCGTTGCGGGAAATGAAACAGCTAAAGTACAACAAATGGTTCTACCTCATTAAATGTGCAAATGCAACATCAACATCCTGCTGAAATCTCAGCCTGAAACCGGCTAAATACATTCCATCCCACTGCATCAAAAGAAAAGGTGTGCAAAGCCTAGCCACAGCCTGTCCTCTGCCAGCATGCCTGTCCCCCAAAAAGCCTGTCCCCTGCCAGCATGCCTGTCCCCCAAAAAGCCTGTCCCCTGCCAGCATGCCTGTCCCCCAAACAGCCTGTCCCCTGCCAGCATACCTGTCCCCCAAAAAGCCTGTCTCCTACAAAGCCTGTCCCCTGTCAGCATGCCCGTCCCCTATTTAGCCTGTCCCCTGCCAGCATGCCTGTCCCCCAAAAAGCCTGTCCCCTGCCAGCATGCCTGTCCCCCAAACAGCCTGTCTCCTACAAAGCCTGTCCCCTGTCAGCATGCCTGTCCCCTATTTAGCCTGTCCCCTGCCAGCATGCCTGTCCCCTACAAAGCCTGTCCCCTGCCAGCATGCCTGTCCCCTATAAAGCCTGTCCCCTGCCAGCATGCTGTCCCCCAAAAAGCCTGTCCCCTGCCAGCATGCCTGTCCCCTGCCAGCATGCCTGTCCCCTATAAAGCCTTTCCCCTGCCAGCATGCCTGTCCCCAAAAAAACCTGTCCCCTGCCAGCATACCTGTCCCCCAAAAAGCCTGTCTCCTACAAAGCCTGTCCTCTGCCAGCATGCCTGTCCCCCAAAAAGCCTGTCCCCTGTCAGCATGCCTGTCCCCCAAAAAGCCTGTCCCTGCCAGCATGCCTGTCCCCCAAACAGCCTGTCCCCTGCCAGCATACCTGTCCCCCAAAAAGCCTGTCTCCTACAAAGCCTGTCCCCTGTCAGCATGCCCGTCCCCTATTTAGCCTGTCCCCTGCCAGCATGCCTGTCCCCCAAAAAGCCTGTCCCCTGCCAGCATGCCTGTCCCCCAAAAAGCCTGTCCCCTACAAAGCCTGTCCCCTGCCAGCATGCCTGTCCCCTACAAAGCCTGTCCCCTGCCAGCATGCCTGTCCCCTATAAAGCCTGTCCCCTGCCAGCATGCCTGTCCCCAAAAAGCCTGTCCCCTGCCAGCATGCCTGTCCCCTGCCAGCATGCCTGTCCCCTATAAAGCCTGTCCCCTGCCAGCATGCCTGTCCCCAAAAAAAAAACTGTCCCCTGCCAGCATGCCTGTCCCCCAAAAAGCCTGTCCCCTGCCAGCATGCCTGTCCCCCAAAAAGCCTGTCCCCTGCCAGCATGCCTGTCCCCCAAAAAGCCTGTCCCCTACAAAGCCTGTCCCCTGCCAGCATGCCTGTCCCCCAAAAAGCCTGTCCCCTGCCAGCATGCCTGTCCCCCAAAAAGCCTGTCCCCTGCCAGCATGCCTGTCCCCCAAAAAGCCTGTCCCCTGCCAGCATGCCTGTCCCCCTATAAAGCCTGTCCCCTGCCAGCATGCCTGTCCCCTATAAAGCCTGTCCCCTGCCAGCATGCCTGTCCCCTATAAAGCCTGTCCCCTGCCAGCATGCCTGTCCCCTATAAAGCCTGTCCCCTGCCAGCATGCCTGTCCCCTATAAAGCCTGTCCCCTGCAAGCATGCTGCCAAAGGCAGCTCTTTCTTCTCAGGCTGTGGCTGCTTTTTCAGGAAAACCAGTTGCAGATGTTTCCACACCTTTGGTCTTGATGCGTCACAGCTGCGGCACGCGTGCGTGGGAGGGAGCGGGTCCAAACGTATGTTGTACTGTATGAATGCTGAATGAGGTCTGACACCAGCCTCTTGTCCCCCCCCCCCCCCGGTACAGCAGGGCTCAGACTGGGAGAAGGAGGGTAGGGATTGGGAATCAGTCAGGTGTAGATAGGCTGACAAGGAACCTGGTGATAGGAGTGAGCAGAGAGGTGACCTCATGAGTCTGCCGCTGCTCCTTCATTGTCCAATCACACAACATTGTACTCCTTAAAGGAGAAGTCCACCTTCCCGACCTTCATTCATGATAAAACAGCCCCATGTATGTGAGGGAATGACATGTCTTCTTCTTTGCAGGGTTTCTGAGTACCGGAGACCAGGCAGCTAAAGGCAACTATGGGCTCCTCGACCAGATCCAGGCCCTGCGTTGGGTCAGCGAGAACGTGGCGTTTTTCGGTGGAGACCCGCATCGGATAACAGTTTTTTGGTTCAGGCATCGGAGCGTCTTGTGTCAGTCTTCTCACGCTGTCCCATCACTCTGAAGGTACTCCAGATTCGTGGCCACGTGTTCTGAACAAATATCTCAAAATAATCCCTGAAAATTGGGTACCTCTGCAGATCTAATGACACCATCACACCCATCATCTGATGACAACATCACACCCATCATCTGATGATATCTGATGACAATCATCACACCTATCATCTGATGACACCATCACATCATCCCATCATCATCACACCCATCATCTGATGACACCATCAACCCATCATCTGATGACATCATCATACCCATCATCTGACATCACACCCATCATGACACATCACACCCCTCATCTGATGACATCATCACACCCATCATCTGAAGACATCACACCCATCATCTGATGACAACATCACACCCCTCATCTGATGACACCATCACACCTATCATCTGATGACACCATCACACCCATTATCTGATGACACCATCACACCCATCATCTGATGACACCATCAAACCCATCATCACACCCATCATCTGATGACAACATCACACCCATCATCCGATGACACCATCAAACCCATCATCTGATGACATCATCATACCCATCAACTGATGACACCATCAAACCCATCAACTGATGACAACATCACACCCATCATCTGATGACACCATCACACCCATCATCTGATGACACCATCACACCCATCATCTGATGACACCATCAAACCCATCAACTGATGACAACATCACACCCATCATCTGATGACACCATCACACCCATCATCTGATGACACATCACACCCATCATCTGATGACACCATCAAACCCATCATCTGAAGACAACATCACACCCCTCATCTGATGACACCATCACACCCATCATCTGATGACAATATCACACCCCTCATCTTATGACACCATCACACCCCTCAACTGATGACACCATCACACCCCTCATCTGATGACACCATCACACCCCTCATCTGATGACACCATCACACCCCTCATCTGATGACACCATCACACCTATTATCTGATGACACCATCACACCCATCATCTGATGACAACATCACACCCATCATCTGATGACACCATCACACCCATCATCTGTTGACACCATCACACCCATCATCTAATGACAACATCACACCCATCATCTGATGACAACATCACACCCATCATCTGATGACACCATCACACCCATCATCTGATGACAACATCACACCCATCATCTGATGACACCATCACACCCATCATCTGATGACACCACACACCCATCATCTGATGATACCACCACACCCATCATCTAATGTTGACTCCATCACACCCATCATCTGTTGACTCCATCATACCCATCATCTGTTGACACCATCACACCCATCATCTGTTGACACCATCACACCCATCATCTGTTGACACCATCACACCCATCATCTGATGACACCATCACACCCATCATCTGTTGACACCATCACACCCATCATCTGTTGACACCATCAACACACCCATCATCTGATGACACCATCACACCCATCATCTGATGACACCATCACACCCATCATCTGATGACTGATATGTCAATGTTCATGACCTCTACAGATCTAATGACACCACCACACCCATCATCTAATGACACCATCACACTCATCATCTGATGACTGATATGCCAATGTTTGTACCTCCAAAGATCTAATGACACCATCACACCCATCATCTAATGACACCATCACACCCATCATCTGATGACCAATATGTCAATGTTTGTTACCTCTGCAGATCATCTAATGACACCATCACACCCATCATCTGATGACACCATCACCCCCATCATCTAACGACACGTTTTCATGTCTGTGTGTCTGTTCCATCACATGGAAGGTATATGGACCATCTGACATTATTCCATGATTGCATCATCAGATGTCTGTTTGTCGGCCGCTCTGAAGGTACAAAGTATATTCGATAAGAGGAGAACATTTTGTGTCCCCGAGCCGTTCCCTTCCATGAGTTTCCTGGGGTCACACCTCTCAGATGTTCATTAGATGTCATCTGCTAGATCAGCGAAAGTCCCTGTATAATAAAACAGTTCCATCGAAGCTTAGACCTGCAAAGAGGAAAGTGATACTTACCTCTCCTACCTGGGGGGGTGTCCACCGCCTGGGCCACCACAGCTCCAGGCAGAGGTCATTTTCTGACCTCCAACTAATATAGGACATAGAGGTCACCAGGAGGAACCAGCGACTCTCATGGGGAACCCAGTAGATCGACACCCAAGAAGTGTCTCTTTCTCTGTGGTCTTCAGAGAACAGTTCTCTCTGTCGGAGTGGCAGGAAAGGTAAGTGTCCAAAGGCTTCTTCACGGGTTCATGGTTTGATTTTGAATAATGAAGGAAAGAAATGGGGGTGTTTCCTGTCTCTTGGCTTCCTTTATTTGGGCCAACCTTATCCTGAGGATCCTTCTATTTCCACATGGGAGACTGGTCCCCCCCACACCGGGTGCCTCCTGAGGGGGGGGGGGTCTTTTCATACTGTGCCGAAGGATTAAGATGTCCTACTAAATACCTAATGTGATCCATTACACGTGATTGTCTTCATCATCTGACTGCATACGAATCCTTGGAAAAGACGACTTTGATCCAAGAAACGTGTTGGATGGGAATTATGATGTGAAGGATAATCTGCGCTTTATTCATGTGTTGGTGTTAAATGTCCGCATTTCATGAATATTCCCCGCTTTTCTTTTTCTTTCATCAGTAGAATTTTGTTCTACATAATCTTGGAGAAGGGACATAGAGGTATGATGAATGATGTCCTCAGAATCCCCAATCCAGATATATCAGCCTTTCACAACTAGAGTTCTGTGGAACCCAGGGTTCCTCCAGAGGTTTCTAGGGGTTCCTTGAGCAATGAGCAATTTCTGCCTCTGAGATAAGTAACCACTGACCCCCAATGTAAGGGACATTCTTCCCACTGATCCCCAATGTAAGGGACATTCTTCCCACTGATCACCAATGTAAGGGACATTCTTCCCACTGATCACCAATGTAAGGGACATTCTTCCCACTGACCCCCAATGTAAGGGACATTCTTCCCACTGACCCCCAATGTAAGGGACATTCTTCCCACTGACCCCAATGTAAGGGACGTTCTTCCCACTGACCCCAATGTAAGGGACATTCTTCCCACTGACCCCAATGTAAGGGACATTCTTCCCACTGACCCCCCAATGTAAGGGACATTCTTCCCACTGATCACCAATGTAAGGGACATTCTTCCCACTGACCCCCAATGTAAGGGACATTCTTCCCACTGACCCCCAATGTAAGGGACATTCTTTCCCACTGACCCCAATGTAAGGGACATTCTTCCCACTGACCCCCAATGTAAGGGACATTCTTCCCACTGACCCCCAATGTAAGGGACATTCTTCCCACTGACCACCAATGTAAGGGACGTTCTTCCCACTGATCACCAATGTAAGGGACATTCTTCCCACTGACCTCCAATGTAAGGGACATTCTTCCCACTGACCACCAATGTAAGGGACATTCTTCCCACTGACCTCCAATGTAAGGGACATTCTTCCCACTGACCTCGAATGTAAGGGACGTTCTTCCCACTGACCCCCAATGTAAGGGACATTCTTCCCACTGACCCCCAATGTAAGGGACATTCTTCCCACTGACCCCCAATGTAAGGGACATTCTTCCCACTGACCCCCAATGTAAGGGACATTCTTCCCACTGACCACCAATGTGAGGGACATTCTTCCCACTGACCACCAATGTGAGGGACATTCTTCCCACTGACCACCAATGTAAGGGACATTCTTCCCACTGACCACCAATGTAAGGGACATTCCTCCCACTGACCACCAATGTAAGGGACATTCTTCCCACTGATCACCAATGTAAGGGACATTCCTCCCACTGACCACCAATGTAAGGGACATTATTCCCGCTGACCACCAATGTAAGGGACATTCTTCCCGCTGACCACCAATTCTCCCCATTGGCCATCACACATAAACCACAAGTTGTAGACAATTATTAGCAGTAGTTCCCTAAGTCCAGGAAGTCATTTCTAGGGTTCTTCTCTGTTAGAGAGGTTGAGGAAGGCTGATCTATATCAACATTTCTTTATGGAATATCATGCTCAGCCCTATGCTGATTTCAGGGGCCACAGTTGGGGCCACCTATACCTTGTAAGTTGAGCACCACAGATGGAACCTACGAGAAATGAAAGAAGTATGTGGCCGAGTTTAGTCTCTTCCCTTTCTAATGTTCACGTATTTATTCTGTCTGTGGTTATTTCCCGTCTCTATGTTGGTTATTTCCCGTCTCTATGTTCATTATGTTCATTATTTCGTCTCTATGTTCATTATTTCCCGTCTCTATGTTGGTTATTTCCCGTCTCTATGTTGGTTATTTCCCGTCTCTATGTTGGTTATTTCCCCTCTCTATGTTGGTTATTTCCCTCTCTATGTTGGTTATTTCCCATCTCTATGTTGATTATTTCCTGTCTCTATGTTCGTTATTTCCTGTCTCTATGTTCGTTATTTCCTGTCTCTATGTTCGTTATTTCCCTTCTCTATGTTCGTTATTCCCATCTCTATCATTGGTTTGTCTCTATGTTCGTTATTCCCCGTCTCTATGTTGGTTATTTCCCATCTTATGTTGGTTATTTCCTGTCTCTATGTTGGTTATTTCCTGTCTCTATGTTGGTTATTTCCCTTCTCTATGTTCGTTATTTCCCATCTCTATGTTGGTTATTTCCCATCTCTATGTTGGTTATTTCCCTTCTCTATGTTGGTTATTTCCCGTCTCTATGTTCGTTATTTCCCATCTCTATGTTGGTTATTTCCCATCTCTATGTTGGTTATTTCCCATCTCTATGTTGGTTATTTCCCATCTCTATGTTGGTTATTTCCCGTCTCTATGTTGGTTATTTCCCGTCTCTATGTTTGGTTATTTCCCATCCGTCTCTGTTGGTTATTTGTCTCTATTGGTTATTTCCATCTCTATGTTGGTTATTTCCTATCTCTATGTTGGTTATTTTATTTCCCGTCTCTATGTTGGTTATTTCCCGTCTCTATGTTCGTTATTTCCCGTATCTATGTTGGTTATTTCCTATCTCTATGTTGGTTATTTCCCGTCTCTATGTTCGTTATTTCCCGTCTCTATGTTGTTATTTCCCGTCTCTATGTTTTCCCGTATCTATGTTGGTTACTTCCCTTCTCTATGTTTGTTATTTCCCGTCTCTATGTTGGTTATTTCCCGTCTCTATGTTTGTTATTTCCCGTCTCTATGTTGGTTATTTCCCATCTCTATGTTGGTTATTTCCCGTCTCTATGTTGGTTATTTCCTCATTCCCTCCGTGGTGTTATCATTGGTGGTGGGTGGACATTTCTACCATCACGTAGGGCAGTAGTAGTGCGGTTCGATCCTCTGCCGTTCTCCTTCGTACTTTGCTACCTATTTCTCACACTTCATTTCCCAGTCTTTGTACTCTTTGTTTTCTCTCTCCTTCCCTCTCCTCTAATTCCATTCATTTTCCTCCATCCCCTCCCGTCTCTAGAATGATCCTCTTGTGCTCCGTTTCTTCCCTGGCACACACTGAGACCAGCTGGGCAGGAAGTGGAGTTGCGGATTTCTGGGTCTCCGTCTGTCTTTCTGTCTCGCAGTGTCTGATGCCGGGGAGTTCATATAAAACCAGCAGAAAGTCCCACTTCAAAGGCTCCAACGTCAATGTTGTACTGATGAGATAGGATTAATAAATCATGGACACGGAGGTCCTGGTGTGAAATACAAATGTGTAGACTGCTAGATACGTCATGCTTGGTGTATACGTGGACTAAATCTGTTCTCTTGTGGCAGGTCTGTTCCAGAGGGCCATCATACAAAGCGGATCAGCTCTTTCCAGCTGGGCCGTCAATTACCAACCTGTGAAATACACTCGGCTCCTCGCCGAGAAAGTCGGCTGCAATGTGCTGGATACCGTGGACATGGTGGATTGCTTGCGTCAGAAGAGTGCCAAAGAACTGGTGGAGCAAGATATCCAGCCGGCGCGATATCACGTCGCCTTTGGACCGGTCATCGATGGAGATGTCATTCCAGATGACCCAGAGATTCTCATGGAGCAAGGAGAATTCCTCAACTACGATATAATGCTGGGGGTCAACCAAGGGGAAGGGCTCAAGTTCGTGGAAAACGTGGTGGATGCAGAAGACGGCGTCTCCGGAAGCGACTTTGACTACTCGGTGTCTAACTTTGTGGACAACCTGTATGGGTACCCGGAAGGCAAAGACACACTTCGTGAGACCATCAAGTTCATGTACACAGATTGGGCTGACCGAGATAACCCCGAGACTCGACGCAAAACCTTGGTGGCTTTGTTCACTGACCACCAGTGGGTGGAGCCTTCAGTGGTGACCGCTGACTTACACGCTCGGTACGGCTCGCCAACGTACTTTTATGCGTTTTACCATCACTGTCAGAGTTTGATGAAGCCCGCCTGGTCTGATGCTGCCCATGGTGACGAGCTGCCCTATGTGTTCGGTGTCCCTATGGTGGGCCCTACGGATTTATTCCCGTGCAATTTCTCCAAAAATGACGTCATGTTGAGTGCCGTAGTCATGACCTACTGGACCAACTTTGCCAAAACGGGGTATGTGACCACAAGAGTTAATATTTGAAAACATTTTAAAATGGACAGCGGGTCTTGAAGTAACTGGGGCTTGGTTGAGGTTTGCCAATGATTAAATTGTGATTTGTAAGACCGGTTTCAGCAAAAAAAAAGGAGATGAATAGCAATTTTCGAAAGATGAATGGAAAGTAAATGTTACATGTCTTACTTGTGATTGGGTGGGAATAGTTTAATAAATGAAAAAAAACAGAAATAATTCCTCGAATATGCAATTTAAATCAAGAGACCCTCCAACCCACACACCCCACCCCACCCTTTATCCCGTGAGTTTAGTACACATACCTGGTTTCCAGTTGTCTTCTCCTCGACCATGTGATGTGCAGAGTCTTCCTTCCATTGGCGATGGACGGTCCATGTTGCTGTAGTGAATGGTGCTCATTTATTCACATGTAAGCAGGGACTGACAACTCATGGGGCCAATGGGCAAAAGGGGATCATAGGGCCCCTGTGTCCTCGCCCACACTCAAACCACACCCAAAAAAGCCTATGAAAGGTACCAAGGGCATCTCATGGGGCCCCCTACTGACCTCGGGCCCTCGGGCAGTGCCCGAGTTCCCGAATTGTCAGTCCGCCCCTGCATGTAAGCACCATATTGTGAGCCCAGGTCGTGGTGATGATGCTTTCTTTGATGCAATGGGCTCTCAGGAAGAGGGTTGACTGACTGGTGTCATTCAACCCAGGAGACCAGCGAGACAAAAGGGACCTTGTGCAGGGTAGAGCTGGGTGAGTATTGCAGCAAAACCTGTTTTTTATTTGAAACATTTCTCATTTTTTTTGTTTGTCTAGTCAAGGTGGAGTTGGCCTTTAGCTCAAACCATACATGTAAAGTCCACATTGTTCCTGCAACCGTTTCCTGACAGCATTCTTCATCTCTTTATTGGAGGTGTAGTGATGTTTAAGAGGCCAAGTCTAGATGGGTGTTGTAGACTGGTGAGGTTCAGGCTCTCAACTGCTTCCCATGAACCCATCGCCCCCCAAATCCCAATAATGAGACCACACTCTTGCAAAATGCCTTTTCTGGCTAAAACATCTTACTCATTGTTCTTGGAGCCCATCTCCGGGTGCAGTGAAAAACCCACCCTACCCCACCCCTATTCGCATCTATTTACCATCAACCTTTAAAGTCTCTTTTACTGTGTCCGCCATCACGTGACCCTCCACGACACCCATTCTGAGAATGCGTACCGGTGATTCACCAATGCAGGCTGGGCTGGTCTTGTTAATGCTCCTTGCCGTCTTTGGTGTCTTCAGAACACTGCGAGGACCACACCGATGGACAAAATGGAAAGTGTCCATGGCACCGGGCAGTGACATGGGCACCCAAAAGAAGGAAGTAGACTTATTAATGCTCCTTGCCGTCTTTGGTGTCTTCAGAACACTGCGAGGACCACACCGATGGACACAATGGAAAGTGTCCATGGCACCAGGCAGTGACATGGGCACCCAAAAGAAGGAAGTAGACTTATTAATGCTCCTTGCCGTCTTTGGTGTCTTCAGAACACTGCGAGGACCACACCGATGGACACAATGGAAAGTGTCCATGGCACCAGGCAGTGACATGGGCACCCAAAAGAAGGAAGTAGACTTATTAATGCTCCTTGCCGTCTTTGGTGTCTTCAGAACACTGCAAGGACCACACGATGGACAAAATGGAAAGTGTCCATGTCACCAGGCAGTGACATGGGCACCCAAAAGAAGGAAGTAGACTTGTTAATGCTCCTTGCCGTCTTTGGTGTCTTCAGAACACTGCGAGGACCACACCGATGGACAAAATGGAAAGTGTCCATGGCACCGGGCAGTGACATGGGCACCCAAAAGAAGGAAGTAGACTTATTAATGCTCCTTGCGTCTTTGGTGTCCTCAGAACATTGCAAGGACCACACCGATGGACAAAATGGAAAGTGTCCATGGCACCGGGCAGTGACAAGGGCACCCAAAAGAAGGAAGTAGACTTGTTAATGCTCCTTGCCGTCTTTGGTGTCTTCAGAACACTGCAAGATCCACACCGATGGACAAAATGGAAAGTGTCCATGGCACCAGGCAGTGACATGGGCACCCAAAAGAAGGAAGTAGACTTGGGAACCAGTGTGCCGTGTGACTGCAGACTCTGGTAATATTTGGAGCTTCTAGGGTTTTTTTTTCATAAATTTCATAATTGGGGGATTAGCTAGAGGGGTCGGGGAGCAGAAGAGTAGATCTGGAGGAGGATAAGCTCCTGGGATGCTGATCAGATGCTTTTCACTGGTTGGCCACACCTTTTGTCGCACAATTCAGATATTCCCTCCTCACCATCGTCGCGGTTTTTGGCCAAGCAATCCATGGAGCTCGTATGAGCGCAGTGATTGCCATGACCAGCTCACACGTCGCAGAATTTTGATTGTAGCCAGGGGCGGACTGACAACTCAATAGGGGATCATGGGGCCCCTGTGTCCTTGCCCAAACTCAAAAAAGCCTATGAAAAAGGTACCAGGGGTATCTCATGGGGCTCCCTACTGACCCCGAGCCCTCGGGCAGTGCCCAAGTTTCCAAATGGTCAGTCCGCTCCTGATTGTAGCAACACCTAATGCTGTCAGGAACTCAATCACAGCTCATTGCTGAATTCACACCGACAAGGGTCCATCACGGGGTTCCATTTCCACAACCATTCCTTGTAAGGCCTCATGCCTGCAAACGCCTACGGCCACATAATCTAACATAGGGGGGCTGAAAAAAACCTTCACCGGTGCATTCACGAGAGGAAAACACGCTTGCTGCGCCTAAAAGCATGTCAACGTGCCCTAACACGAAATGCGTCTAGGTGACAGAGGAGAACCTACACAATGGGGGGGGGGGATTTACTAAAACTGGAGCACTCGGAATCTGGTGCAGCCAATCAGCTTCTACCTTCAGCTTGTTCAATGGAGCTTTGACAATAAAACCTGGAAGCTGATTGGTAGTAAATAGCCCCCAGTGTGTCGGTGCTGCCATCTGCTTGACAAGACATGAAAGTGGTGGAATTACGTTTTATTCAGCCCTTCGTGTTTCTAAACCAATTCTAAAGGGAAAATGATATATTTTAGACCAGTCAGACTTGATATATGGAAACCAGCTTGCATATGTGACTACAGAACAGGAACAGAGGGAAATCTTCCAATGGGGACACCTATTCCGGTGACAACTAAGACGGGATTTCCTGTACTTTGTAGAGATTTCCTCTCATTTCCTGTTGTTTCTCAGGACACGCCTGCTCAGGAAGTGAAAATAAATGTCTTAATTCTTGTGTGAAGTAACCGTTTTAGGTTTACTGATCATTTAAACTTTAATGATCTAATTTTTCTCTTTTATTTTCCAGTGACCCCAACAAACCTGTCCCACAGGATACGAAGTTCATCCATACCAAGGCAAACCGCTTTGAGGAGGTGGCCTGGTCCAAGTACAATCCGCGGGATCAGCTGTATCTGCATATTGGCCTGAAGCCACGTGTGCGTGATCACTACCGAGCCACCAAGGTGGCGTTCTGGAAACATCTCGTGCCGCACCTTTATAACCTACATGACATGTTCCACTACACGTCTACTACCACCAAGGTGCCACCTTCTGACACCACTCAGAATTCACATATCACCCGCAGGCCCAAGGTTTGGGAAACTAAGCGTCCGGCCGCCTCGCCCACGCTGAATGGCCCAGCGGGCAAGTGGCACCCTGACATCGACCAAGTGGACCCGGTTGTCATCCAGGACCCCAGGGACTATTCCACAGAGCTCAGTGTCACCATCGCTGTGGGAGCTTCTCTTTTATTCCTCAACGTGCTGGCTTTTGCCGCTCTGTATTACCGCAATGATAAGCGGCGTCAGGACACTCAACGCCAGCCTAGCCCACAGCGGGCCTCAGCCACGCGGGATCCAGCACACAGCCCAGTACCTCCTGAGGAGCTCAACTCACTGCAAATCAATGCTGGACACCCTGATTGTGAGGGAGGAGGAGTCACCGGCCATGACAACCTGCGTCTCGCCACACTATCTGACTACACCCTTACATTACGTCGTTCCCCTGACGACATTCCACTCATGACACCTAACACCATCACCATGATCCCAAACTCTCTGGTGGGACTTCAAAGCCTTCACCCCTACAACACCTTTTCTGCAGGCTTCAACAGCACCGGTCTCCCCCACTCACACTCCACCACCAGAGTATAGCACCCCACCATGTTGCACTTCCTCCTTGCCCCAACACCAAGTCTACGTGAAGGTGTCGGAGACAAGGAAGAAGCGAAAAATGACACATTCCATACCCCCCAAAGAAGAAGGGGGACAGGTGTGGGGCTTTGCTTCTAATACGGAAAGGGTCGATTCGGTCATGACCCACCAAGGACACACTTGTGGTGTGCTCTTGTTTCCTAAAGTGCTTTTTCCTTTGTGGAGGCACATAGAGTGAGGGCAGCTTAGGGTGAGGGAGACATTTATCTGCAGACAAAAGGCCTTCGACAAAGAAGATCGCGATTGGAGAAGAGGCAGAAGGGAAACAAGCCCAATGTATTGTCCCTTATCTTTTCCACAAAGCTTTTCATCAACATTCACCATTTTGACTTTCCAGTTACTGTAAACCCTCACTGTCTGTACATGTGGAGAACCTGATCTGATGTGGAACGGATGACGTCTACTTTACTAGTATAGAAGGACTGGGGGACGGGTATTAGGCTCTGATAGAGATCATATTTCTAAAAAAAAAAAATGTTTTTAGAAACATGACAAGATTTTTATTGGAAGACAGGAGAAAGTCACGGGACAGAGAGACTGAAAACGAAGATACGTCTGACCCAATCACCTAGCCTGTTCAGCTCTATCCCAAATGTGTGCCAAATTCATTCACCAGCTAAGAAATGGGACTGAACACGGTCCTTGTTTCAAAACTACCTTAATCTTCCCAGTGCCAAATATATTAAGCCAGCCATCTTAGAAAGAAGGTTATGTAGGTGATAGGTAGGTATGTGGCATGAGTTATTTTTGAAATACCTGTCCCAGTAGATACACTATGTGGCCAAGGTCTTGGACGCCCGACCTTCTCTGTCACCTATCTTTAATGACAAAAGTATACTGTCCTCCTTTCCCATGACTGAGTTCAGGTGTCTCCATTGAAGGGTCCTGGTAATCCTCCATCATACAAAGATATTGCAGACAATTGTGCTCTTCCAGCTTGTGGTAACAGTTTGGTGAAGACCCTTTTCTGTTTCACTATGACTGTCCCCTGCTGACAAAGCCAGCTCCATGAAGACATGGTGTGACCAGTTTGGTGAAGACCCTTTTCTGTCCCCTCATGACTGTCCCCCGTGTACAAAGCCAGCTCCATAAAGACATGGATGACCAGTTTGGTGAAGACCCTTTTCTGTCCCCCCATGACTGTCCCCCGTGTACAAAGCCAGCTCCATAAAGACATGGAGGACCAGTTTGGTGAAGACCCTTTTCTGTTTCACCATGACTGTCCCCCGTGTACAAAGCCAGCTCCATAAAGACATGGTGTGACCAGTTTGGTGAAGACCCTTTTCTGTTTCACCATGACTGTCCCCTGTTGACAAAGCCAGCTCCATAAAGACATGGTGTGACCAGTTTGGTGAAGACCCTTTTCTGTCCCCCCATGACTGTCCCCTGCTGACAAAGCCAGCTCCATAAAGACATGGATTACCAGTTTGGTGAACACCCTTTTCTGTCCCCCCATGACTGTCCCCTGCTGAGAAAGCCAGCTCCATGAAGACATGTTGTGACCAGTTTGGTGTGGAGGAACTTCGGTGTCCTGTACAGAGCCCTGACCTCAACCCTACTTTTGGAAGACCTTTGGTGTAAGGTCTTTTTATCCAGCGTCCAACATCAGTAACTGCCCTTCACCTTATGAATGAGAAGACCTCATCTCAAAGGTATTCAGTTGGTTTGAGGTACTGGAAGAACTCAAGTGTCCTGTATAGAGCCCCGACCTTAACCCTACTGAGCACCTTTGGGATTAATTGGAACACCGATGGTGAGCCAGGTCTTCTCATTCAATATCAGTACCTGACCTCACAAATTCCCACAGACACCCTCCAAGAGTAATTCTCTTCTCAGAAGCCTTCTCAGAAGAGTAATGCCATCTCCATAAAGACATGGTTTGACCTGTTTGGTGTGGAGGAACTCGAGGGTCTTGTACAGACCCTACTGAACAACTTTGGGATGAATTTGAATGCCGATAATGAGCCAGGTCTTCTCATTCAACATTATTACCTTATCTCAACCCTACTTGAACAACTTTCGATGAGTTAGAACATCAATGTCCAGTTTGGTGTGGAGGAACTCAAGTGTCCTGTACAGAGCCTGGACCTCAACTGTCCAAAAAGCATTTGGGATGAATTGGAACACCGATGGTGAGCCAGGTCGTCTCAACCAACATCAGTACCAGACCTCAACTTTACTGAACACCTTCTGGATCAGTTGGAATTCCAATTGGAGCCAGGTCTTTTTTCTTTGGTGCCCAATGTGGGGCCCAACATGAGAGCCTGTTCTTCTCATCTAACATCAGTATCTGACCTCACAAATGGGCACAAATTCACACAAACACCCTCCAAAATTTTGTGGAAATTGGAGGATTTTATAACCACAAAAGTTGGGCAACTCTATGTTAATCCCATAGTTTTGGATTGGGATGTCCAACAAGCTCAGGTCAGGTGTCCACAGGCTTTGGGCCATATGGTGTACTTTTAGCTAATAGCTTGTTAGAAACGGTAGGCCGGTATCACGCTTGGGTTAAAGATTGCCTACTGTTGAGTTTCAAAAATACACCGACTTCCACTTAAACAGAATCTGGCACTACAAAGAATAACAAAGACCTCTGTGAAGGTTCTCGTGAATCCAGGTCATGATTTATCTAGCAGTAGTTGGTCACATTCAACTGGGCTTGTTCTGTAATGTTAAAGACATCTCACCTCTCATTCAAGTGTCTTCTCCAATTTAGAACTTAGGAAGACATTTTGATAAGCAGCAAAACGCCTCCAATATTACAGAACAAGCGCGGTTGAATAGGACCAGCTACTGGTGATAAAACGGACGTGCACATCGGGGTGGTGGAAAGCATCACCAGTTTTGGTACATACCACCGGCTTGTCAGAATGTATCACCTGCACCTCCCAGAAGGAGAACTTGTTTTCAAGGTCAAATCAAAGTTCCCTCACGACCCAAAGTGCAGCGAGAAGGTTAGTGCCCTCACATTGGATCATGGGTTGAGGTTTGAGAAATCTGCTCGTCTGGGAGGTTCTTGGGTGCACGGGAACGGAATTTTCGAAAAGCCAGTGGTCCTTACGAGAACTCTGGAACCTGTCACCCGGTCACACAAGTTTCTAGAGGACGCGAGGCCAACTTGGTTAGACTGTCTCCAACCTGGGAACAGGAGTAGTAAAGTCGGTCTGGTTTGCTGAATTCGTTTCGGCAATTATTAGTGCGCAGGCAAAGCTCTAGTCTGAATTTTAGGCTTCTTGTGGTTTCTTATTACCAAGAAAAGTCCACAGTGTATATTGTTTTCTATGTTTACAGAGATATCAACGACACGGGGTCCCGTTAAAAATCCAAACGTGAATGGAACATGGACAGATGATGCATTTATCTAAAGCTTTGAGATATATATATATATTAAGAGACTATATATGTATATATATATATACTCTCTGATGAAAGGTGTTTTATTATATGGTGTTCACAACGACAGTAAATCTTTTTTTTTTTTTTAACAAAGAGAAATCTCTCTCCGTCCTTCTACGTCCCCACTCTGCCTCCTCGGGTGAGTCTGTGTTTGGATGAAGATCGAAGTCTTTGTGCATGTATGTGGGTACCAGTATGGGTCTCGGCCTGTGCACATGTTGCGTGTATATATGTGTCCTCACACACACATATACATATATGTAGAGAGAGAGCTGTGCACAGGGGCAGTTTCTCTAAGCTGTTGTACATATGAATACTCACATAGATGTGTTGCTCCTCCGCCCTCCCACTTCTTCCTCCAACCGGGGGCCCCCCCGACGACTTTTCAGCTTTTTTTTTTTACCATTCGCCATGACTTTTGAACGTGGGTTTTGTGAGACGGAAAAAAAGGGACGCCACGGGTTCGAGGGAAGTTTTGTGACACAGAGGGACACCTGGGGTCAGTATTTATAGAATGTATTTATACTGTATCACAGGAGAGTAGAAAACGTATTCCAAATAAATAAAAACTCATATTTTTATATGCTGGTCGGTTACTGTGTTGCCTGGGAACGGGGCGGTGTAAAGATGTACCGGATGGAAAACCCAAAAAGGTTCGCCGTGTTCATGTCAATCCAAAAAGTTATTTTTTATCCTTTTTTTTTTAAAAAAAAAGCTTTCATTTAACAGTCTCTGGTGATCCTGCCATGGAGGTCACTTCCTGGTATAGGGTGACAACGCTCTTTCCCTGATGCCCAATTGTGTTCCTGTGTTGTCACTCTGTTTCACAAGCTTCCAATGGAGACTACCAGAGGCTTATACAAAGAGGGGGTGCAACGCTATTTAAACTCAACAATGACACAAAAGCATGTATGAAGTGACAAAGTGCAAATGCAAAGACCACTAGGTGGTGGTCAAAGGTGCTAAAGTCCAGAGAGAAAAGGTGCTGTTGAGATTTCAGATGATCTTGGGGTGTCCAGTGATATGGACTGTAGATCTTGGTGATAAAAAATGAGATTGCGCACTCACCAGATACGCAATTCAAATGCGCATAAATAGTAGTAGCCTCTGGTTATCTAGATGTCATCCAGAGAGGTCTGGTCAGATCAGGTCCGATTGGTCCTTATTCCCTGACGGTGTTATCACTCATGGGGGATACCCACTCAATGGATACAGCCTGCTCCCATGGGGTCTCCTCACAAAAAATATGGCTGGTTCTGCAAACGTGATTGGCTCTCAAGGGAGCTTTTCCTCTTCTTTACATACATGATCCTCACTCTCCGTACCCGCTTTTGTACCACTCGAGGGTATAGTTAAGATTATTGATGTTCGCAGGTCAAGGGTAAAGGCGACGCGTTTCGGCAAAATGCCTCCCCCCTTCATCAGGGCTGTAATGATGGATGCATAGAGGGCAGACCTGAAACAGCAGTTTGGCTGAGGAAGAGGCTCATTAGAAGCTCTCTAGTTGCTGAGTGGTGGCTGTGTAGAAAGGAAAGGAGCAC